AAAAAAAAAAAAAAAAAACAACAACATATGGTTAAGCAAACTGAAAAGAGTGAGTCCTATATAGTTTTACAAGATGTTGAGTATATGGGTGATTTAAGGCCAAGTAATCATGAACTGAAAGAGACTGCATCGCTATAAAAAACACGCCTGTGATAAAGACCATATTAGGAATTAAGATAAACACATACTGCAAAATGCAATAAAATCCAAATACGAATGAAATGAAAATTAAGAAAATCAAAAGGCAGGAGAGCACAATCTAGTTTAGAGGGGTGTTTTACCCAAAAGACTCAAAGTACTGGATCATCAGAAAAGCCACGACATATTTTTCTATGCAAAAAATGTGTCATAACTTTCCTGACAACCCCATAGTTCTGATGTTTACAGAAATAAATGTCATTAGTTGTGAGTTCCACCCACTAGTTATGGCTCATTACTTAAGTATGTCCCACAATGCTTTGCTGCTGAGTTCTCTGCTTACCAGTCTTCTGGTTTGACGGCTGAAGGATCAGGGATTTTCGGTCTTTCATCCCACTCCTCGGGCTTGCTATCATTGGGATCTTCGATCTCTTTGGGAGGATTGATGGGAGGAACCACGTCTTCTAGTAGGCTGCCTTTGTTTACAACTATCTGATCAATTAATACTTCAAATGTGTCATCTGGATTCATCACTAAAGACCAATTTAAATATAGTCTAGTTACTATTCTGACATAGTTTAGAGATAACCTTCTAAATAATAAAACTGCCCTAAAAACTCCATGAATATATTTTTTCCAAACCAGAAATAAAGGAATAACACATGTCTTAAATCAAAATAGGCAGAAATTGCTGGCCATACTACTTTCTAAAATTAAGGGGAAAAAAATCTCTTTCAAACTACATTTTTTACAAGAACATGTTCCATTACTTCTCAAAAAAAAAATAACCAAGGACTAGCTCTGTTTGAGATTCATGACTGTCAGTGTCACTTACTAACGACCCCATTTTCTTCAGCATTTTAAGCTTTTTGGACCAATTTCAAACATAAATAGTTCAAGTCAATTACAAAATTGTTCATTTTTTTGTCCCTGAAACTTTTGAAGAGTGACCACTTGTACTGACTCACGCACCTCACCCCTGAACTAAAGTTTTAATGTATATTTCCTACAAAGAAGGCCATTCTCCTATATAACCTTGACCCAGCCACCAAAATCAGGAAATCAACACTGATCCATTACTATGGCTTCGTAGACATTCTTAAGGATAATGTTCCCTGGGCATTTCAAATTCACTGACTTATAAGGAGCAGTGTAAAACATCTCATGGGCGACTTACAACATTCACATTTATATTTTCCAGCAAGTTTGTTTCAAGGTAAATGCTAGCCTTCTAAGTTATCGAGCCAAAAATTTGACAAAGCATCCCTGTACCCTTTTTCAAATGATAAAATAAAATATCTTTCCTCCTTCTACAGTAGAGGGATGACTACGTAAACTTTGGATCTTCAGGGGGAAAAAAATAATAGATGAAAATACCATCTAACGTTTGCTTTCAACAATAAAAACAGGGCCTGTCAACGAATGTGAGGATCACCTGACTTAAGTAGGTAGGCGGGCCACCACTTTCCCACAAAATACTAGGGCACTGGGCAAATCATGATGATTTTTCTGTTTTTCTATGCAAAAATGCATGATGACGGTTCTGAAATAATGACAATCTTCAGAGACTTCGGTCACAATAATGACAAAGTTCTTACAGCAAAATCAAACAATGCAAAGCTTTCTGAGTAAATCCTGCAACTGAAATCTGTATTCAAAAACTATCGTTAAAACAAAAAAGCAGGTAAGAAATAGGAACCCGTATAAAAACCTCTCTGTTCAAAATTTTGGACAAACTCTGCTCTTAAATTTTCATTTAAAAAATTATTCCAGGGAACCAGCAGTTAGCGTAATGGCTATGTCGCTGGATTCCCACGTAGTCGACCGCGGTTCGTGTCCCGGAGCCGGTGGCTTAAAACTAAGTTTGTTTCAAGGTAAATGCTAGCCTTCTAAGTTATCGAGCCAAAAATTTGACAAAGCATCCCTGTACCCTTTTTCAAATGATAAAATAAAATATCTTTCCTCCTTCTACAGTAGAGGGATGACTACGTAAACTTTGGATCTTCAGGGGGAAAAAAATAATAGATGAAAATACCATCTAACGTTTGCTTTCAACAATAAAAACAGGGCCTGTCAACGAATGTGAGGATCACCTGACTTAAGTAGGTAGGCGGGCCACCACTTTCCCACAAAATACTAGGGCACTGGGCAAATCATGATGATTTTTCTGTTTTTCTATGCAAAAATGCATGATGACGGTTCTGAAATAATGACAATCTTCAGAGACTTCGGTCACAATAATGACAAAGTTCTTACAGCAAAATCAAACAATGCAAAGCTTTCTGAGTAAATCCTGCAACTGAAATCTGTATTCAAAAACTATCGTTAAAACAAAAAAGCAGGTAAGAAATAGGAACCCGTATAAAAACCTCTCTGTTCAAAATTTTGGTCAAAATCTGCTCTTAAATTTTCATTTAAAAAATTATTCCAGACTTTCACTGAAGTCTACAGTAAAAGGCATTGGAAGGGCCAGGCACGGCGGCACAGTGGCAGGGTACCCCTCGCCAGGCTGGGGCCACACGGAAGGCCTCTAAGCAGGCCGAACATGGCAGCCAGGTCCTGTAGTCCTTGCTAGCTGGGAGCCTGGGTGGGGAGAGGGCCGTGTGGTGACAGCCTGTGAAAAACCCTGCTCTCACTCCATATAACAAGACGTTGGATTATGCAAAGTGTGTAAAAGGACTTCTAAGGCTTTCAAACAGAATAGTGTCATAAAGCTATAACAGTATTTCAACAAATGTTTTTAAAGAATAAAAACATCATTCAATAATCCCAGCACAAGAATCAAGAAGAGCAAGCCTTCAGGAGTCAGGCCTGAATCTCTGTTCTGGCTTCCTCGTGCTCTGGGCCAGCTACTTAATGAAGTGAAGGCAAAAGAGAGGGCCCACTGCTCCCTTCCCAGGCTGGCTCCAAAGTGCCCAGGGAGGAGCATGGCACTGACCGAGTGATCAGGGAAAGTTTGCTCTTTTTCTGGGCTTTTGCTGTTTGCTTGCAAAACGCACCCAGTGGCCGGCACGCTGGGCCTGATGTTTGAATTGTGCTTTCTTTCCCCCATTTTTGCACTGTAAGCATTTCCTTCTATTGCTAAGCATTTTCATGGTTATCGTCTCTTCGTCCTGCACAGAAAACCCCCTTAGCTGTAACTCTGAGGTCGCTACAGATTTTCAGTATGTCTTCACACATGGGTCATTTCCTTTCTTCTGGGTTATTACCTGGAAGTCGGATTTTGGTTCCAAAGGACAAAAACCTCTTCTGGCCTTTGACAGGGACGACCAAATTGCTTTCGACCAAGTTTGTACAAGTGAGATGAAATTCATGTGTTCTGTTTACTTACCTAATTTCTCATTACTGCTATCGCTAACATGGTACTCCCCCCGCCCAAATGTCCAGAATTGTCTTTCAGTTATTTTGGAAAAATGTTTTCAGTATCATATCTGATGCTGGAGATAAAACTGAGCTTGGCCTGAGCAGACAAAATGAATGCTTCTGCAATTGCAGCCTTTGGAGAGAAAGTCAAAAACTTTAGTCTTAGTTGGACTTGAACCTTAAGAAAGGATGCTGCTGGGGTCATACCAAAAGGCGCTATCAGATTCTGACAAGCTACGATTTTAAGTAATCATGGGCAGACCAAAACTCTCCAACCATTCGTATTTGGGAACTGGAGAAACGCCCCCTTTTAATGCCCCTCTCCTCCCTACCTATGCAGGCTCCTAGTCACTCAAGCAAAGCGAAGAACATTAATGTACAGCCGCTCAGTGTGCATCTCCTTTCAAAGTCAGGACATGCCACCACCACAAGGCGGGACCTGTTTTAGTGAGAATCACAGGTGCCTCTAGAAGAACGTCTACATGTTTCAGCCTGGTTGGCATCCTCTTATAGTTTTCATTTCCTTCCAGCACCTCTATCGCAGTGTCTAAAATGTCCTAGGCCTCTCCTGTCACCATCTCCCATGCATTCTTCAAGACAAGTTCAAATACAATCTTCACTAAGCTTGCTCCTAGTCTCCAAGCTGGAAGTAACGCTGCTTTGGAACCCCCTGCGCTCTCCCTCTCCCTCATAGGGAACTTTATTTTCTACCGGTACTATAATGACCTATGTCTTATTTTCCCAAAAAGATAGGCTCCTTGAGACTAGGACGCATGTTTGTTTTCTCCCAAAGCACTTGCTATGAATGTATCTGTAGTCAGCAAATATTTTGAATGAATGAATGAATTAAAAAGACATATATACCAAGGGTATAAAGATGAGTCTTCCTGTCTGTAAAGAACTTTTTAAGGTCTACGTCTGGAGGTTTGGCATGTTTTTCTTCAAAAACTCCAGTTTTGGGATGTTTATGTCTGAAGATAAAATGAAGTTTATAGTCTTCTCCACATTTATCTGGTCCAAACATAATGGTATAGGACGTTTTATCATAAAAGTTTTCCTTCAAAGAGAGATGAGTGTTGGGATTAGTTCAGAATCAGAGTATTTAATGAATTTCTCTATTCTATCCAGTCGGTAGAGTTTATGAGAAGGTATTAACTGCTCATTCGCTAACGTACTCTTTATTTACCACGTGTGACAATAAAGGATGTGGGAGAAAGACACATTTTACTTCAAAACATATTAGAAAAAAAAAAAAAAAGCACACACTACTTTCTTCCTGAAGATGTAAGAGAGAGGTTGAAACTAGCCTAGCCTAGCAACACTATAGAACGCTTTAATTACTTTATGGAAATCTGTGTTATTAGTATTTTATTAAAAGAAGCATTCACAGGAAGTACATTTAAGACCTTAAGACTGAAGCGATTATCCATCACAATTACTCAGACACCAGAAAATGACCTTTCTGCACACAAAATGAAGAGAGATTCAGACAAAAACAGACACAGAGACACACACACCCTATTTTACTACTAGTGGTTTCTCTTTATGTGGCGTGGCACAGTGGTTAGGGGCATGGGCTCTGGAGTCAGATGTGGGGTTCGAATCCTACCACTGCCACTTACACTAGCCACGCGTGGCCCTGGGTACATTTTTTAACCTGTCTCTCCGCCTCATCACCTCTGAAGGTATGGAGGTGATCATAGCACCTACCTTATAAGATCTAAGATCAATGGAGTTCATCAAATACAGTGTTTACAGAAATACGTGGCATTAGGCGTTTTTGTCATCCTTTCAGGCGGCCATCACACATCTAAACGAGAGTGTCGGCTATTACTGCGGAGGGCCCGCCCTTTACCTGATCCTAACACAGATTAGGGCGTGAAGAAGCCTTTAACACACGCCTCATAGCCCAGGCAGAGCCACGCATTCTGACAAATAATGTCACATTGATGTCTCACTTGTCTCATGAGGGGACTGCAAAAAGTTTGGGGAAAATGGAATTAAAGGACAAATTAATTTTGGTGCAAAAGTTTTTTTTTTTTGAAATTCATATGTAGTTTCATAATATGCATTTTCCAGGAACTTTTAAAGACCCCCCCTCCGGTACCCCTCACATTTCTGTTACATGCAGAAACCCTGACAGGGCCTTCCATAGGAAAATGTGAAAAATATCTTTAACCTACAAATAGTCCTGATACAACCTCTTAGAATTATAATGCTGCTCCACCATGAAAAAAGTGGGTTTTTTTTCTTTTTTTCTTTTTTTAGAGAGATTTTTGCTATAAGGTGTGCATGCTCACCAGAGACACAGAGACAGACAAAGAGAGAGAAAATGAGAAAGCACCCCCTGCAGGGGGGATGGCCACACTGCAATCTCTTCTCTTGCGTTCTCCTCTTGGGATTTTGGGTACAAGTGCACATGCTGCCAGAATGAATTTCAAGTCACCAGATCCAGGACTGAAACCGTGGTTGACCATGTAGGAGTCTAGTGCCTTAACCACTATGCCACCTGCTGGTCCCAAAAAGTTTTTATAAATTAGTTATTTTCTATGGGTTGCCAATGCCTGAGCAGGGCCACCTTTCCAGTTGGTTCTTCAGCCATTTACTGCTTCTGTGGTTACCTGACTTCTCTGAACACACTTATAATTTTTAGTTTACACAGAAAATAACTCTAAGTGGATATTCCAACAGCATTTGTAAGCACCATGTCACTTGTCGCTTATAGACATGGTCAACATTTTCATGATGCTAAAGGTTGTACAATGGATACCTTCAAGTAACACGGCTTTACAGGAAACTTGAGGGCAACCTGTAAAACTTAAGGGCAAACTCATGTTGGAAAAAGACGTTCAATGTTGTCACTTTCAATTGAAATGAAATTTTCATTTGATCAATTATGCCTTAAAAATACTTATTGACTTTAATAAAGTTTTCTTAAAGATTAAAATATCATACCAGAGTCAAATCATCAGTGTCTGCTAGAAGTTTAATGTATGCACCTCCACAATCAATACCATCTTGAAAATTTACTTCATATCTAAACGGAGGGAAAAAGAACCACACTGCCGATAAATAAAAATTATCAGCTGCTCTTTAAAAATCGACTTTATTACTCTCAATGCATTCAAACATAGAAGTTGACATTACCAGAAAGCGCCTACAAGCATATCCACAGCCTACAGGAAATAAGCAGAAATGCTTTTCTACCACTGTAATATAAGGCACCTCTTGAAAATAGTAAAAACAGAGAGGTTTATAATCAACTGCGGAAAAACCAACCCATGTCTTAGAAATAAGTTTTTCATCAAAACTGTTGAGATACTTTGACTAAACCTGTAACAGAAAACTTCGAATTCTCATGAGGGAGGCACTATCCACATTTTTTGCAATAGCAGAGGCCAGAAGGGTCACAGCTAAGCAACAGAATTCTGAGAAAATGCTAGTGAGCTTAATTCCCGGAGCTCACTACTATCTGTGTGTTCGTTCACCTACACTCAACCCAGTGAAATAAGTTGTCTATTTAATTAGCTAGCCCTGGCAAAGAGATTTTATCCTCTCAGTCAATAATCTGGAGTATTTCAGCCCCAAATAGCCAGGTGATATGAGAAACGTTAGCGGTTCCAGAAAACAGGGAAAAGGCTGAACGAACAAGAGCGCCTCCTTGTGGGATCAGCCCGAGTATTTCCAGACAAGTTTGTTTTGTTTTCAGTCTTGCTCAGATCATGAGGCACAGACTGACTAGCAGTTGGGGGAGGTTTTTGGTAAATGGATGAATTACATGTGACGAAAATCAGTGAGGAAATGGCTGTCAAGGTGAAAAACAGTACACAACCAAAGAGGTTTTCATTTTGTGAAACGAATGAAAACAAAACAAGACGAAAACTAGAGAAGCAACAGGGAAGAGTGATCCTTTTAATAAAAGACTACAGCCCTTTACGGGAACATTTTAAACTGTCTTTGAAGACACTTTGGTGACAAGAAGAAAAACAGTAATTGCATACAAAGTGTTAACAGAAGTCAGTGTGTCTATTTTCTACCAAGAAGATCAGCGGCATGGGGTGCAATTAGGCGATTTTCTCTGCATTGTGAGCCTATGGATGATCCCCTCCCTCACTTTGACCTTTCTATTTCAAGCTGTCTACAGTTGTGATGACAGCTACTCTGTGTGTGTGTGTGTGTGTGTGTGTGTGTGTGTGTGTGTGTAAGAGGTTTTTGCCTTAGGATGCGTGTTCTAGTCGGGGAGAGAGAGAGACAGAGACAGCGAGAGGGAAAGTGAGAAGTCCCCCTCAGGGGGCCAAGCATGTACGTTGAAGTCAGGATGACCTGAGATTTATTCTCAATTCCACCGCTTACTCTCCTGGCACTCTGGGAGGGGCATGTTCTTTAAGTGCTATTTATTCATCTGTCACATGGGGGCATGGCCCATGCCTCCACTCCCAGGATTATTCTGATCATGAAAAAGTACCATGCACGATGATGAGACATAAATGCTCAAAAATGTGAGCTTCTAGGTGTCAGCAGGTGGCATGGAGGTAAAGGCGCTGGATCCCACAAGGCCAGCTTCGCAGTTTGAGTTCCAGTCTCAGTGGCTGGGGAATCACACTGGGTGCACGTGTGTGCGTGCCCAAGATCCCAAGAGGAGAGTGGAGGAGAAGGGGCTGGGCGTGGTCATCCCCCCTGGGGGGTGATTTCTCTCATTCTCCCCCTCCCCCTTGCTCTTCCTCTCTCTCTGGCAAGTGTGTGAGTCCTACAACAAAAATGAAAAGATAAAATAAAAAAGTGATTTTCTATTATGATCAAAAGAGAGATTTTGTGTTTTTTATTAATTTTTTTGAGGACCACTTTAAAATAAAATTTAAAAAAAGCTTTATCTTTAGTTTAAGAAGTGACTGACCAAGAAGTGTTTTCCTAGAACTTTTGCCTTTGAAGACTATAAAGCAGAAAAAATTGGTATAGGATATAACTTACAGGACACTAGTTTCAGGGAAAATAGAATAAAAAGAGATGTTGGTTTTTTACAGATGATTGAAGGACAAAAGCTTCTGTGAAAAGAACAGCATTGTCAATTGGCTCTAAATGTTCAACATGGCTTTGTTGCTCTCTTAAAATGCCGAGACTCATACTCTACCCATTCCTTACGCTACGAGTTTCAGTTTTCAAGTCACTAACTCGGGCCTAGTGTAAACAATTCACCATGGATTACAGGGTCCGCCTGATGCATATCATACAGCCCGACTGCTGCCCCGCCTCAAGGCAGGGAGGGCTGAGGACACACGCAGAGGATGTGGGACCCCAACTTCTTTAAGAGTTCTTTTCCCAGACTGTTCTATGAAATAGGAGCTATTGTGGGTGGGAAATAAACTTCCATGGTCAAGCATGTTTGGAAAACACAGTATTTAAAGCCAAAAGCAGGAATTTTGTTGTGTTTTGTTTTTGATTTATTATTGCTTACTTCTTTTTTAAAAAAAAAGAATTAATTTTATTTAACTTTTTATTTAGTTAGTTAGTTATTTTAACTTGACCAGTGAGGGACAGAACAAGACAGGGAGAGAGGGAAAGTAAAAGCCACCACCAGGTCTGGGACTTGAACTGCAGTCGGCCATGTGAGAGTCTAACACCCTTAATCACCACGTCACCTGTTGGACCCTACTGTTAGTTTCTTAATGAGACAGAGAAAAAGAGGGGGGAATGATTTTGGGCAGGGTCTCATCATGTTGTGATCCTCTTCCCTAGCCTCCCAGTTAGCTAGAACTAAAGGTGTCCACACCTACCTATCAATTTGGGCAGGGACTCGAACCTGGGCCTCCCACATGCCTCAGCCTCTAATGTTCTAGCCACATGACTGAGCCCTCAAACAGGTGTTTATATGCAGAACTCCTAAAGTCCTCAATGGGCCAGCACGCTTCCTGTCCCCGAAGTTAAGATTTTCTTAGCTTCCAAAACTTACATGACCATATGACATATTAACATGTACACAAGTTGGGAAAAACAGCTTTAAAATTGTGTTACAAATCCATAGTATTTATATTACTTAATCTAAAATCTCTTCACTGCTTAACCCATCTAATTTTATCAACATTAAAGAGAAGACATTTATTCCCCTTTCTCTTTAAGTCTATAAAAGACTACTATTCAATTCTTGGTCCTTTTCTTTCTTCAGGATAATCATTTCACAATTTCTTTAGTAATTTTTAAACTTTATTTCCAATATTTGCTTCTAGTCGTTCAAGCTGTCATTTGCTTACATGCCTAGCAGTGACTTACCCTGAAAATATTACTAGGTTGTTGGGAAAATCATGATGTATTTTTCCATGTCTTTCTATGAAAAAAATGCATCATGACTCCCTCAACAACCCCACATATTTGATCCATTTTACTCTGGAGAAGTTAAATTTTATACTATTTTCCTTTATCCTTTCATTTAAGCCACAAAGGGTCAGACTAGAAAGTGATTCACCTAAGTTTCAAGAAAATAATAAGATTATCTTCAAACTCTCAAGGAAAAAAAAAAAAGTCCTGAATAACGATAAATAATACCAAGCTCAAAAATCGGTCCCGTTAAATACCTGTAACTGTGTGTTTAATTTGTTTAAATACTGCTCATATATTCTTCGACATTACAGAATATATAAATTCACTGAAATTACTTAATGTCGACTAAGCCAAAGCAGCACAAGCATGCTAGGCTGACTACATGCAATTTCACTTAATATCGCTAATATGTCAGTGACACAACACAGGGACACGTTTAACATGGCGACAGGAACGGAAGGGTCTTGGAGTGATAGGACTCCCAGTGAACCAGACTTCCTCCTGTGCTGTAATTAACTCCGGACAGCCACGTTTTCTGATACAAGGTAGAAAGGGACAGTTATACACTCCGCTCCTTTGTTTACAATTTGAATATTAGGAAATGTTGTGAGTTCACGTAGATTTATTCTGGTTTTACAGCAGTATAGATCAAATAAACTTGAGGAATTTACACCTGGTTTTACGATTGTACACACGCAACATCACTAGCTTATGTCAAGGCGGGGGAGGGTGGAGAATGCCTGTGAGAACGAGGACCTTTAAACGGGGCCTGTGCTTGCAAGACACTGACCTACACATGTTAAAATTAACATGCTCCCTTTGAATATTATCTCTGGTTTAACGACAATAATTAGGGCTCCTTCCTGAATATTCTGAGGTTAATAACTTAGTAGCAAGTCATTTCAAGGAAATGCGATAAAACTAGGGATTTTACTATGTGTTTTTATATAATTTATGATTATATATATGACAGCATAGATTATACAGTTTTATCATTAACCTGCTTTTTATTGAAAAATCTCATGGTACATATATATATAACTAAGTGAAACTGAAAAGGGAAATCTGTATTTTCATACCCCTTCTCAAAAACAAGCTATATTCAGACGCCGAATTACAAGAAACCAGCGCAAGATTCAGAAGGAGAGTGTTCAAAAACGTAGTCAGACTTACTGAACTACCAAAGGCTTGTCAGCGAACACGAAGGGCTTGGCCAACACGGCCGATATGGCGTGGTGCTTCGCTCTAGACTTCAACACCAGCCCTCGGTCTCCAGGCACCCGGTTTTCCTTCAACTTTTCTATCTCCCATCTTCCTAAAAAAAAAAAAAACAAAGGCAAACAAATTAAACTAGCACAGAAAACACCACTCAAAGCATTATTTAGCGGCATTGTTGGATTTGGGAAGAATACAACTAAGATTTAACCCGGGAAACGCCTGCAACTATGAATACAATGCACGCCTGCTCTTTTTCCCTTTTTTATCCTGTTTGAGAATGCTTTTGCTTTCTTAGCTCTAGCTGCGGAAATGAATAACGACACGACAGTATGGGGGTCTGGCCCTCGTAAATCTGGATTAGTTTGGTTTTCTTTGAGAGACATTTTACATCAGTGGTCTGTCCATGGGGCCTGTAAGCATCATTTTCTAAAATGAAATATTAAAAACTGCATGAGGCAACGAGCATTCTGAACACCAGGTGAGCAGTGTGCCTCCATCTATTCATTTTGAAACCCATGGTGCTGGGGTGAGAGTGGTGTGGCAGTTACGGTGCCGGACTCCCACATAGCTGACCGCAGTTCGAGTCCTGGGCTTGACATCATGAAAGTCATGCTGGGCACGTGACTGTGTGCATCCCAAACCCCAGGAGAATGGAGGACGAGGGATTGTGGCATGGCCAACCCCCAATGGGATGGGGGCTGTGATTTCTTACTTTCCCTCTCACTGTCTCTCTCTTCCTCTCTCTAGCACATGCACCCTATAGCAAAAACCCTAGTGAGAGAGAGAGAGAACCCATGGCACGACTCCCCAGCTACTCTCCTCATTCATGGCAGTTACTGTGGGGATGTGGATTTTATTTTGAAACCTGGATGCTTAATTCACACCAACCTTTCCTGGCTAAGCCGATCAGTATTTAGAACCTTGGGCCAAGGAAGTGGCCACACTCTGGACAAGCACTAAGCTACAGGGTGGCAAGGCTGAGTTAGGCCCCCTGGTGCCAGGATTTCCCAGGTTTGAGGTCTGGACATTCTGAAATTAGATGGGGCTGGGGGGGCGGGTTCATACAGTGTAAAGTGGCCCCCTGCAGCTCAAAAGTATGTTGAATTTTACTCTGTCTTTTATTCTTTTTAGAGGAGAAAAATGGCTTATATTGATTTGTATAAGATCTTCTAGTCTTGAAAATTATAGGTTTTTCTATTCCAAGAAAGTAACAAGTCAGCAAAAACTGGCTATTTTCCAGTGTTAGGTCAACTCAAAACATTCCCCGATGGGCACAGTTGAGTCACTAATGTCCTTACGACCCTTTTCCCCCCTACTAAAACAAAACAAAGCAAAATGCATGAAACCGAACAACCTCACTAACCAAAGAGGGGTGATTAGAGGTGATGCTGGTCTACCCGAGTGTACACTTTATTGAGCTTTGTACACTGCATGTAAGCTCACAGGGTTCCTCACTTTCCTCCCACCTAACTCGGTGATACTCTACTTGACAACTATTTCATTGGGTTTTCCTTTTCTCGCATTGGTAACGAATTATTAGCACTAGAAACTTGTGGTGTGCCCCTCCCTGCCAAATGGCTTTATTTTAAGAAGTCACAACTTTAGGGGGCTGGACAGTTGCACAGCAGCCGGTCACAGCTCTGTGAGGCTGACCTACAGGGGTCTGGGAGTGCCCTCTTCAGGCCTCCCGGTACATGGTGGGTGGGCGAGGCCATCGGGCTGGCTGAGGCTGGGAGGAACCATGGCTGCTTGTTGGGGGTGCTTGTTCCCCTCTCTGGCTCTGTCTTTGTCTCTCTTGTGCTTGTGTAATAGATAAAACAAACAAAACAGAAGTAACAACTTTATCTTTTTGGATTTTTAAGATACTGATAGTAAAGGACTTTAAAACAATGTTGCCTGGGCCAGCAGGTAGAGTGGTGGTTAAGGCACTGGACACTCCCACGTGGCTGACCACCGTTTGAGTCCCGGATCTGGTGGCTTGCTTTCTCACTTTTCCTCTCTCTTTCTCTCTCTCTGTTTCTCTCTCTGGTCAAATTAAAATAAATTAATGAATAAATACAATTAAATAAATAATTCTTTAAAAAGAAAACAATGCTGCCTTAGTGTTTAGTTCTTGCAACCATGTACATAAATTTATACTTAGTTGTTGCAACTATGTATATAAATTTATTACTTAGTTCTTTTTTTTTGTTTTTTGGAGAGATTTTTGCTATAGGGCGCGTGTGTTTGCCAGACAGACAGAGAGAGACATAGAGACAGAAAGCGAGAAATCAACCCCCAGGGGGGATGGTCACGCCGCAATCCCTTCTCCTCCATTCTCCTCTCGGGATCTTGGGCACGCACATACATGCGCCCGGCGTGAGTTTTAAGCCACCAGGTCCGGGACGCGAACCACGGTAGACTGTGTGGGAGTCCAACGACATAGCCATTATGCTAACTGCTGGCTCCCCTTAGTTCTTGTAACTATGTATATAACTTTAGTACTTAGTTCTTATAACTATGTACATAACTTTAGTACTTAGTTCTTGTAACTATGTACATAAATTTATCATCTATAAACATGGTTCTTGTAACTATGTACATAAATTTGTCAGCTATTAAAAATGGTACTATAGGGACCAGCAGTTAGCATAATGGGTATATCGCTGGATTCCCATGTAGTCAACCGCGGTTCGCTTCCCAGACCCAGTGGCTTAAACTCACGCCGGGCGCATGTGCGTGGGTGCCCAAGATCTCAAGAGGAGAATGGAGGAGAAGGGATTGTGGCATTGCCATGCCCCCGGGGGGGGGGGATTTCCCACTTTCTGTTTCTTGTCTCTCTGGAGAGTGCACGCAGCCTATAGCAAAAATCTCTCTAAAAAAATAATAATAAATGACTATAATACATGTTACTTTCATTTTAGAAAACTTGTGACAAGGTAATTATTCCTCAGTGACATGAGGTTTTCTCAACATCAGATAATAACTTTCTATTAACCACAGCATTTACCCTGATTCTGTACAATACTAGATAATATAAATCCTGCTGCAAATACATTTCAAGAAAATTTACATGGCTTTTATAACATCTTGAAAACTGGTCACTTAAAGAACTGATATTTATAATATAATAGTCATACTTTTAAAAAAAAATTGCCAGAGAGCACATGTGTTTGCTGGAGAGAGATGGAAAGTGGGAAAGCAGCCGCCATGGGGCACGGTTACAATCCCTTCTCCTCCATTCCTCCCTTCCTTCTGGATTAGGGGCATGCATGCATGCCCGGCATGTCTTCCAAGCTGCAAGGCCCAGGACTTGAACCCTGCTGTTGCTCATGTAGGATCCAGCTGCCTTAACCACCAGGCCATGAGCTTGACTTGTACTATCAGTACACTGACTCATAAATGAATCTGAAAAATGTAAATAACTGTACCCAAATATCCAAGCTGTATTCTAGTACATGTTCCCTGTAGGCTTGCTTATTCCTGAACTGCTTGGAATGAGTGTTACGCAGGTGGATCGGGAAGGCAGTGTGTTGAACTCTGTGGCTACCAGATATTCTTGCAAGGAAATCGGAAACTGATCTCAACCAGCCATGGTGTATGAAACACCGCTGAGGTCTAGAGCCACGACAAACTTTTAGCACCTGGAGCTTTTGCAGATGCCCTGTCCTTCAAAGTTTCTTTGAAGAAATGGAACAAAGTCAGGATCAGCAGATGGCATAATGGTTACGTTGCTGGACTCCCACATAGTCCACTGTGGTTCGAGTCCCAGACCTGGTGGCTTAAAACTCAGGTCAGGCACGTGTGTATGCATGCCCAATATTCTGAGAGGAGAATGGAAGATAAGTGACTGTGGTGTGGCCATTCCTCTGGGGAGGGTGATTTCTCACTTTCTGTCTCTCTGTCTCTGGAGACCATACACGTCTGATGGCAAAAACCTCTCTTAAAAAAAAAAAAAAAGAAAGAAAGAAAATTGAACGAAGTCAGTCAAAAACCACACCTAAACCTAATCTGTTAGAATTTGTGTGAGCATCAGATAGCGTAATGGCTATGTTGCTGGACTCCCATGTAGCCCATGTAGCCGACCGTGGTTCAAGTCCCAGACCCAGTGGCTTAAACTATTTACTATTTAAATAAATGTCTTACCATCATAGATAGAAATCGCTGCATCTGTATCATCTTTCTTTGCTTTTGATAAGACCCACCTGCAAATAAATTTGAAAGCACACGTGTGTAGTTAGAAATGAGACTAGCAATTTGCAGACACACTGCATACTGTAAATGTAACAAAAGATTACAGACACTTTCACTCTTAAAAAATAAAGACTTAAGAGAGGAAATAAAGATGTAATGCTAGAGTTAAGCCAGATAATATGCTAGCCATGTGACCACAGGTAAGCCACAGTAAGCCTCAGTTTCTTTTCCTTTCTTTCTTTCCTTTTTTTTTTTTTTTTGGAGAGGTTTTCGCTATAGGGCGCATGCACTCGTCAGACAGACAGAGAGAGACATAGAGACAGAAAGTGAGGAATCACCCCTTAGGGGGGATGGTCACGCCGCAATCCCTTCTCCTCCATTCTCCTCTCGGGATCTTGGGCATGCACGCACACGAGCCCGGCGTGAGTTTTAAGCCACCGGGTCCGGGACGCGAACCGCGGTCAACTACGTGGGAGTCCAGCGACATAGCCATTACGCTAACTGCTGGTTCCCAATCCTCAGTTTCTTCACAGAGAATATAAATAGTACTTACCCAGCTCTTTAGGGTAGCATCTGACACATTGTAGCCAGTAAGTATAATGATAATTAATAAATATCAGAATGTTTATTATTATTAAAGATGGAGTAGCAAATCAAATGTGTCATCTAAACTAAGGAAGCTAATTTCTGTCCTAGAGGATGAAGAAATGCCGAAAGTTTTCTTATTGCATTTGGAATTTATTTGTATGTATATTTTCTTTGTATAAATGAAAGAAAATGAAACATGTGCACCAATAACGAAAATGTGTGAAGCATTAGTTTATACTACTAAATAAAGTACTTGAAAAAATGTGGAGGTAATTCTCATAGATCAATAACCACTAACTTCAGAGAAGCAAATCAAGACCAATAAATAAATAAATAAATAAAAAACTCTCTTGAACGAATACTTACCCGGCCAACCTTCCACTATCAAAGGTTTCTGTAAAATACACTTCTCCTATCGGCTGAGGTGTCTTATATTTAATCTAGAAAATGAATGTTTAAAAAGCTGACGTTATGCCTTTTTACAAGTACTTAAATGACATCATCTCGCGAGTCAAGGACCTAGTACACGATGGCCACGTAGGTGACACGGGCAGGAGTGACACGGACCCTATCCTCAAAATGGTAAGATATGTGCGAACACAGAGCTAGCCCGTGTGCAAACAGAGCGGGCACTGATTCCCCACCCGGGAGGAACCGGAGGGCGTGCTTAGAGGAGGTCTCCCAACACACTTGACGTGGTCTTGAATGCCCTCTGGCGAGGGACAGCGTTCGGGGCTGAAAGTCATTAGAAGCAGAGAAGACAGCATATTGAAAAGGATGTAGGATGAGGGCTAGCAGGTGGCATGGTGGTTAGAACCCCGGACTCCCACATGGCTGATGACAGTGTGAGTCCTGAACCTGGGAGCTCTGGGAGCTGCTGTTCTCACTCTCTCTCTCTCTCTCTGTGTCTCTTTCTGATCAAATTGGGGGGGCAGAGGGGGAGAAAGTGATAATAATAAATGAAATAGTTTTGAGAAAAGAAAAGCAGGGAAGGTGAAATGCCTAGTAAGCGCAGAGGCTCATTTAACTCTTACATCTCGCCGTCAGGTGACTGCCAGGTCTCATCTTCCGGGATTAGGAATCCAGAGAAGGACTCAATGGAGACCACACCACAAAGCACCGCGTAAGCTGCTCCGACGGTGATGGGGTGGGGGAGGGAATCCCAGAGATATTGGAAAGGGACAGGATAGAGGACCGTTTTATCGCAGTGACGACCCTGGTGGTGACACATGCCTTCTTCAGTCCTCACGATACTTCCATGAGGTAGTTCCTGCCGGGGCGGTCCCTGCACACGTGATGAGACTGGGAGAGGGACAGTGCTGGACCCACTGCCACACAGCGAAAGGGCGGAGGCCCGAGACTGGAGTCCAGGCCGGCTGCCTCTAGGGCACACACGCTTCACTACGCTGTGTAGGACTTGCCAACAAAATCATTTTAAAAACTGGTTTATTAACAAATTATCAATGGCTAACTTGAATTCACAATTAATGAGTAAATTTTATCCAATGTAATAGACCAACCTGGGTCCTTCCCAAAGCAATGTTTCCTGAGTCAGTCTGAGAGACTGGGTATGCAATTTCGTCTCTTGGTCTTTAGGGAAAAGGTACACACATGCTTTCTCTATTTTCACTGTCCCCACCCTGCCCTCACAGTACACTTCTCTATCAGCTAAAGAGAGGAAAATCGGTAATTAAATGCACTTCTACATAATTACTGTGAGGGTCAAGATTTAGCCACCGAAAGGGCCAATCTGCTATGAAATTGGCCGAATTGCAACTTTACTGTTTCCTCCATATTTGAAGCTTGGCAAAATGGGCAATGGTATACCAAGAGACTTCCTTCCGCTAGACCACCTTAAAATCGCCAGCTGTTTATTTTGCCCTTTACGTGTACTTTACTATACATAGGTTATTCATGTGATAAAATTAGGAGCATCCAAAAAAAATGGTTCTTTGCCACTTTTTCATCACCTTCTCATAGCATCATCAAATACAGTCAATAGTGGTAGGTATCTGCCAATTTCTTCTAAGCATTAACCTCCACAGACCCTGGAGGCAGCGAGTCCTAAGGGAGCCATGTGCACTTGGAGGACTCGCTACTTGTAGATCACATAGCTACGTTTAAAACAATATGTCTCTGCAAAGCTTAAAATTTAAAAGGCAAAAAGTATCCATGAGTATCCATCTTACACAGTTAAACACTTAGACTGGAAATGAAAACGTCTTAATAAAAAATGAAGCAAAGGGGACTGGCAGGTGACATAGAAGTTACATTGCTGGACCCCCACATGGCCAACCACAGTCTGAGTCCTGGATCTGGTGGCTTGACACTCAGGCCGGCACCTGTGCATGCGTGCCCAAGAGCCCAGGAGAATGGGGGAGAAGGGACTGCGGTGTGGCCATTCCCCCAAGAAGTGATTTCTCACTTTCTCTCAGTCTCTGTGTCTCTCTATTCAGCGAGCACATGTGCTCTAGGGCAAAAACCTCTCAGAAAAAAAAAAAAGAAGCAAAGAAGACTACAACAACTATTGCATTATCAGGAAAGTCATGATGTATTTTTAAGAGAAAAACACAGAAAACTATGTTATGATTTTCCCGATGACCTAATATATATTATTCACTTTGGTCCTTAAAACAAGCTGGCACGATACAACTAGTGCTTTCTCATTGAAAATATTTCTGGCTATCACAATATTAGATATGACTATTTCTCAATGCAAAAGCTCTTATGGGTTGGCAAGGTTAAAAAAGCCTCTGTCAAGTTTCCAGGACTCCTCACTAACTCAAAACACATCTTAGCAATGGGGGGAGAGAAACATCAGTTCCCCTAACAGATTACCTGCCTCACCACCGCCTTCCTTCCTAATTTACTCTCCTTAGTAGAATTTTTTCTTCAGAGAAATACAGAAAAGCCTTTTACTTTACTTCTAGAACTGCAAATTATACTACCTTTTATCTTATCTGAATAGACCTGCTAGTACCAGAAATAAGACTAAAACCTTACTCCTAGCTAAAACAGTTACTGATAACTAGTCTTCTTTTTACTTTTTTTTTTCATTTGTTAGAGGGCATGTGTGCTCACCATAGAGAGACAGAGACAGAGAGAGAGAGAGCGAGCGAGAGAGAGAAAGTAAAAAAACACCCTCCAGGTGAGATGACCAAGCCACAATCCCTTCTCCTTTATTTTTCCTTTTGAGATTTCAGGTATGCACACACAAGTGCCAAGTATGTATTTCAAGCCGCAGGATCTGGGACTTGAACTACACATTTGGCATGTGAGATCCAGCCTCTTTTACTGCCATGCTACCAACTGGGGCCCAATTAGTCCTCTTTAAAGAAATGGCAAGCTCTCATTTCGATCGTGAAAGCCTCCCCATTTATTTGTCAAGAAAACTGCGGCAGGTGCCAAGCACACATTCCTGGTGTATAAGGGTGCTCTAAAGAACACAGCAAGACTGCTGGGAAAAAAAATTATGTTCTTCTGCCTACTCAGCGAATGAATACTGTTAGAACTGAAACGACACTTAAGAGCTCAGTCACTCTGACTGGGTTATCAGGAAAGTCATGACCTATTTTTATTTTTGCACAGAAAAGCAGAAAAATACGTCCTCACTTTCCTAATGACTCAACATCACATAAACAAATAACCCGTTTCTCCAGGACTTACCTCTGAAGAAATTTCACCCTCATTAACATCGGTGTCGTCTGAACTTTCCTCAAAGTCGTCCATCTCAACACCCTCGTCCATGAATTCTGCGTTGACCGAGATGACTAGAAGGCCCAAACACAGCCACCAGTCTTGGAAACGCATCTTCACTCTCTGTGAGATGAGAAGCAATCGGTGAACATAAAACAAAGTTGTGAAAAATACGTGTTAAGTATAAGTAGAAAGAAATCATTTCTCCCTGATATCTCCTTTGTCTTAGGATGGCTTTTGAAACAAACAAAAGTATTTAAATGATTCCTTGAGCAAGTAGAAATACGAACGTCCAATCTCTTAGGAAACGTTACAACTTCAGACCTTTTTCCAAAACCAAACGGCCAGAGGTCAGATGGTGGCGCTGCGCTCAAATGCAACAGCTCTGAGAGGCTGACCCACGTGGGAGGAGTCCAGGTGTGACCCAGAGACCTCCCTGAGTATCCCGGTATACAAGTGCCCACGATCCAGGGTTGGCTGGGGCTGGGGTGGTTTGCAGCATCAGTGTCAAGTCTCTATGGAGTATGTCTCTGTCTCTCTCTCTCTCTCTGCCTCTTGCTTATGGGAGAAATAAATGAATAACCCAAAACCCAAAAAACAAGGAACTGATTATATAAAAGCTAAAGACAGAGATAACAATGAGTCTCAGACTCAAAAAATACACAGACACCTTTGAAAGAGAGAAAAAAGTATCATGATCTTTAAATGTTTGCTTAAATTATATTATCATGTTGCTTAAGTGTATATAAATTTACGGTTGGAAATTTATGACAAAGCCAAAGTACATTTATATATAAAGACCAGAAAAACGAAAGAAAAATATTTTTATCACAGATTTCATGTGACAGTGTTTTGCTCAAATCAAATCACAACAATAAATAAAAGAAATATGGTGTTTATTACAATCAGATTGACTAAAAAGAAAAAGAAAGATTTTTTTTTGCAGTTACTATTCCTATAATTCTGTGGTTACATAATTATCTTAACTACTTCTCTATCCAAATACTATAAAACTCTTGTTCCTTACAGCATTCCCCGTGCTGAGGAGAAGCTAAATACACTCTGGCTGGCTCAGCAGAGGCACGTGTTTTATATAGTTATATCCTCCCCTACTTTCAATAGTATACAAACATTCAAGTTTTATTTCTTGGTACCAATGGACTTTTATTTTATCTTGTTTAGAGAGAGATTTTTACTATAGGATGTGCACACTCACCAGAGAGACAGAGAGGAAGTGAGAAATCATCCCCCTCCCCCGGGGCGGATGGCCACGCCACGATTCCTTCTCCTCTACTCTCCTCTTGGGATCTTGGGCACACATGCACACGGGCCCAGCGTGAGTTTAAGCCACTGGGTCCAGGACTCAAACTGCAGTCAACTACGTGGGAGTCTAGTGATGTAACCATCTGCTGCTCCCACCAATGGACTTTTAAACACCAACTTAATGTGGGTGCCGTAACTGTCTGGCAGGCCCTGGTTGTCGGGTCATTCAGATACTCCAGAATGTAATTATTGATACATTACCTTTCTTCCCCAAAGTTACCATCGACTTAAAAAAATTTTTAAGCATTTTTTTTTTTTTTACTTTTTTTAGATTTTTGCCACAGGGCATGTGCACCCACCAGAGACAGAGACAGTGAGAGAAAGTGAGAAATTACCTCCTGGGGAGATGGGCACACCTCAATCTTTTTTCCTCCAGTCTCCTCAGGATCTTGGCCACACATGCCTGGTGTGACTGTCAAGCCAGGTCCAGGATTTGAACTATGGTAGACCATGTGGGATCCAGCACCTTAACCGCCATGCCACCTGCTGCCTTCCCCCCCAGTAATAACATTCTTTTTCTTTTTTTTTTTTTTGAGAGATTTTCACTGTAGGGCGCGTGCGCTCGCCAGACAGACAGAGAGAGACATAGAGACAGAAAGCGAGAAATCACCCCCCAGGGGGGATGGTCACACCACAATCCCTTCTTCTCCTCCATTCTCCTCTCGGGATCTTGGGCACGCACGCACACGCGTCTGGCGTGAGTTTTAAGCCACCGGGTCCGGGACAAGAACCGCGGTCGACTACGTGGGAGTCCAGCGACATAGCCATTACGCTAACTGCTGGTTCCCAGTAATACATTCTTAAAGAGACCTCTTAGAATTCGGAATAAATCTGTAGTGGAAGGAAGCACTGGATTCGCAATGAAATCATACTCTACTTACCAGAAGGGCCATGGTAAAAAAAAAAAAAAAAAAAGAGAGAGAGAGAGAGACAGAGACAGAGACAGAGACAGAGAGAGAATTACAAGTGTTGGCCAGATATGCAGAAGTGGAACCCTCCTACCTCATCGGGAGGGGAAGAAAGTAAAATGATGCAACAGTTTTGAGCAACATTGAGGCAGTTTACTTCTAAATGGAAAGGACCTACAGTCAATGAAAATACGCTACGAAACACAGCAGAAAGTGGAAAAAGAAGGACGGCAGCAGAATCATCGTGGGGGGGGATACAACTCTCTGGATATTTAGGCAATGAAGTACTACTGCAAAGCATTTGACGGCGTGTGGATCTGTTATTCCAAAAATGAGAAATGAGAAGGTCTGACGTCCATGCAATAATCCAAGTTCAAAGCCTGGATATGGGGCATATTATTTGGTTCTATTAATTATAAAAAGAATGAACTATCCCTGTACTGGATTTCGAAGGCATGGCTTTACACTAAAGTTAAAACGAAGTAAGTGGCATCATTTTCAGAATAACACATAAACATCATAATGATCCATTCACTTACCACTCAACGTGTTTAGGATTACCCCTACATTGTCCGGAACAAGTAGCTTGGGGTACCTTGCAAAACATAAAACAAAACTATAAGCTCACAAAAGCTCTCTCTCTTTGGGAACCAGCAGTTAGCGTAATGGCTATGTCGCTGGACTCCCACGTAGTTGACCGCGGTTCGGGTCCCGGACCCGGTGGCTTAAAACTCACGCCGGGCGCGCGTGCGTGCGTGCCCAAGATCCCGAGAGGAGAATGGAGGAGAAGGGATTGCGGCGTGACCATCCCCCCTGGGGGGTGATTTCTCGCTTTCTGTCTCTATGTCTCTCTCTGTCTGTCTGGCGAGCGCACGCTCCCTACAGTGAAAATCTCTCCAAAAAATCTCTCTTTCATTCCTGTATTCACAGTGTCCAAAAGTGTACAGGTGCATGATAAAAGGAGAATATATATGTGCATACAGAATGAATGACAGAGGGAAAAATCAACAGCTAGCAGGAGGATGGAAAGAGGTGTTACCAAGCGACCAGTCAGGATGAGCTGTTGCAGCAGTAGCTGGACTTGGGTTTCCAGGCAAGAAGGGGAAAGCCAGAAATGACATGAGTGACATTCACTGCTGCTAATTGTCTATAAGATTCCTGGAGGAAGCTCTTTTCTAGAATTTAACTTCTAGAAAAATGTGTGGAATGGGACCAGCCCATAACCTGGCCTTCTTAAAGGGGGGCTGGATCCAACATGGCCGACGACACGGTTCAAGGCCCAGACCCGTCAGCTTGAAGAACATGCCAGGCACACATGTGCGTGTGTCCAGAATTCTGACAAATGGAAGAAATGGGGGAGAAGGGATTGTGCCATGGGCCGTTTTTCACGGGGAGGGAGGGGGATGCTTTCTCCTTCTTCCTCTCTCTCTATTTTCAGTGAGTACACATGCTCTCTGGCAATTGAAAAAAAAAAAAAGAATGGAATGAATCTTTACCCAGTAGATGTCTTTATGGTTTTGTGAGAGAGAAACAGTTATGCCAATACTCCTAACGTTTGTCCTCGCTTTCTGTCTCTATGTCTCTCTCTGTCTGTCTGGCGAGCGCACGCTCCCTACAGTGAAAATCTCTCCAAAAAATCTCTCTTTCATTCCTGTATTCACAGTGTCCAAAAGTGTACAGGTGCATGATAAAAGGAGAATATATATGTGCATACAGAATGAATGACAGAGGGAAAAATCAACAGCTAGCAGGAGGATGGAAAGAGGTGTTACCAAGCGACCAGTCAGGATGAGCTGTTGCAGCAGTAGCTGGACTTGGGTTTCCAGGCAAGAAGGGGAAAGCCAGAAATGACATGAGTGACATTCACTGCTGCTAATTGTCTATAAGATTCCTGGAGGAAGCTCTTTTCTAGAATTTAACTTCTAGAAAAATGTGTGGAATGGGACCAGCCCATAACCTGGCCTTCTTAAAGGGGGGCTGGATCCAACATGGCCGACGACACGGTTCAAGGCCCAGACCCGTCAGCTTGAAGAACATGCCAGGCACACATGTGCGTGTGTCCAGAATTCTGACAAATGGAAGAAATGGGGGAGAAGGGATTGTGCCATGGGCCGTTTTTCACGGGGAGGGAGGGGGATGCTTTCTCCTTCTTCCTCTCTCTCTATTTTCAGTGAGTACACATGCTCTCTGGCAATTGAAAAAAAAAAAAAGAATGGAATGAATCTTTACCCAGTAGATGTCTTTATGGTTTTGTGAGAGAGAAACAGTTATGCCAATACTCCTAACGTTTGTCCTCTAACATTTAGGATATATTATTAAAAGTTAACACTGTGACAACATTTCTGTAGAAAAATGACAATGGTCAGAAAATAGGCAGTTTTAGGATGCAATTCAGTACAGAGGAGGAATCGTATTTTTAAATTGTACCCTAAATCCATGGAGAAACACCTCTTAATGTGAGTTTTTTCCAAGTCGTCTTATAGACATGCTTCGTTTTCTTCTCTTTTTAGGGAGGTTTTTTGTTTGTTTGTTTATTTGTTTGTTTTTTGCTACAGAGCACGTGTGCTTGCCAGAGACAAAGAGAGACAGAGAGACAGAAAGTGAGAAATCACCAAAGAATTCAATTAAAAGGTTTTTGTTACCACATCATGCAAATAAGTAACAGCCAAATTTCACCAGAAGTAGAAGGTGTTCTTGGAACACCCTGGCTCTGTGACAGACAGGAAATGCATCCCGAAGGATCACAAATAAGACGGGGCAGGAGGTAATGGTGGCATCTTAGAGAGGCAGACTTCTCCCAAGCAAATGGTAAGACTTCATTTGAAACATGGCCTCTTTATTGATAATGGGGGAAGTTGTGCATGTTTGGGATGCTCTTTATTTTATGCTCAGTTTTGCTCTGAACTCAAACCTGTTCTAAAAAATAAAGTCTATTAAAAAAAAAAAAGAAAGAAAAAGAAACATGGCTACTTTCATAGAAGCAAGCAGCGTGATTCAGACAAACTGCATGGGAGACTTGTTAGTGTCTCGACGGCGAATGTTTCACCCATGAAATTCAGTGGAGGTCAGCCACTAGGTAATAAAACTCACGATTCGCTAAGCCATTCAGCAAGTACTTATGATGGTCAATTATGCGCCAGACAATATGTTAGAGACTGTATTTAAAGTAATTAGGAAAATGTACACGGCCACTAATCTCATAGAGCTGACAGTTCAGGATGGGAAACAGATGATAAATAACTAGGTATACTATGTAAGCTATAATAAATAACAGAAAAGTAAAGAAATTGTGACAGCCTGCAATTAGGGGATTGAATTTACATGGGGGGGGTCAAAAAAGTCTTTTTGAGAACATGGCACATGCACCTTGTAACAACAGTGGTCTAAAAAGATTTTTTTTTTAAAGGTTTTTTTCCATAGGGTGCAAGTGCTCACCGGAGAGACAGTGAAAAAGAAAGTGACAAATCACCCTCCAGCGATGCCACAATCCCTTCTCCATTCTCTTCCTGGGGTTTTGGGCATGCATGTACATGCACCCAGTGTAAATTTCAAGCTGCTGGATCCAGGACTCGAACCATCATCGGCCATGTGAGAGTTCAACACCTTAACCACTACACCATCTACTGGCCCCCAGCAACATAATAGGCTGCACCATGTAGCCTAGGAGTGTAGAAGGCTGCAGCACCTACGTTTGTATCAGTACAGCCCGTGGTGTTTGCACGACGCTAATGACATGTATCTCGGATCACAACCTGGTCATTAGAGAGGCATGACTATCTTTATGGGGAGCAAAGGACAGAAAGGACTGATTTCCCTAGGCCAAGGATGAAGAACTCAAAGGGGACGGGTGCAGTCAGAAACTAAGAGCTTCCTGTGTTTCAAGCATATTAATTCTAATTTTTTCAGCATCCATATGGTAAAGATATTAGTGTTCCATTTTATATAAAAGGGAAGTGAAATTCAGAGAGGAAAGTATTGGGTCAATGGAAAAGTCATGATGCATTTTTGCACGGAAAAACACAGAAAAAGATGTCATGACCTTTCCAATGACCCAATAGTTTAGCCAAGCCTATACAAAGCTACTAAATAGAAGAGGTGAGACTCGAAGTTAGGCCTAGCTTCACGTCCTCCATTCATTTCATTAAGGTTTATCAAATTAAATGATTAATCCTCACTACATGGCATTAAAGTCTAGACCTATAAGATATAGTACAAATCTAAACATTGTCTTATGATGTTCCATCTTTTAGACATATATTTCAATTTGTGCAGGGTCTATATTTTAAAATTCATATTTTGATGTGTATCCAAATTATACGTTACACATACTTACATTGTATATACTTGACTAAATAGCCTTTTTCCAAGAAAGATTGTAAAGCAGCTTCAAGATTACGTAAAAATATAAAAACTAACAATGTATGTTTGTATGGCACTCTAAAACTTTATAAAGAATGTTCACACAAATTTACAGATAGTTAAGAAGATACCTGCACTTGTTTTAAAGCTCAAGAATAAATGATAAGGGAACCAGCAGTTAGCGTAATGGCTATGTTGCTGGACTCCCACGTAGTCGACCACGGTTCACGTCCCGGACTCGGTGGCTTAAAACACGCCGGGTACGTGTGCGTGTGTGCCCAAGATCCCGAGAGGAGAATGGAGAAGGGATTGCGCCATGACCATTCCCCCCTGGGGGGTGATTTCTTGCTTTCTGTCTCTATGTCTCTCTCTGTCTGTCTGGTGAGTGCACACGCCCTATAGTGAAAACCTCTCCAAAAAAAATTAAAAAAAAAAGAAGAAATGATAAGATTTACTACTAACACCGTAGAGCACATGCTCAATAATGTTTCTAGGTAGCTCCTTTCCTTAACAACACATTTTCTAGAAAGACTGTCTCCATTGACTTAAAACTTCTAACTTCCTGCAATAGCCTTAAAATGGTCCCCCCACCCCCCGCCCAAGAAGTCCACATTTGGGCCCTATAAATGTGACCTTGTATAAAGGGGGCTTTGCACATGGAATTAAAGCTGCCAATTAGCTGACCTGAATGTAATTACTGGGGACCCTGAATGTGGAACAGGCCAGCTTGGTGGCACTGTGGCACATGGCAAGACACCACAGGGCCACCACGGTTTGGATCCCTGTCTGGGCAGCCTAAAAACGTGCCAGTCACGTGTGAGTGCCCAGATCCAGTGAACTGAGGGCTGGAAGGAAGGGATCACAATGTGGCCCGGCCTGGCAGAGCGCTCATCTGCCTGTCTCTCGCTC